CAGGTCAAAACAGCAGGAAAGGATAGTTCATAGCCTGGAGAACAGATGTAGCTAATACTAAAGCCCCAGTCGAAATTTGTTCCTTCCAACCTTCCATTAGAGATCTGGGGAGGAGTTGGGCAGGTAACAGCTGCAATTACATTAAAAACGATTAGACACAGCTGTTGAAATACGCAGGGTTTTAAAAAAAATAAGTATCATTAAGAGAAGCATATGTGCTAATTTAACCTTTTGGAGGACAACATGGTATGACACGTTTTATTCTCCTGGTAGTACTCCTGAAACATCCCTAGAATTAATTCCTCTAGAATGCAACTATTCCTTGGCAACATAATGGCTACTGGTTGTCAGAGATTCTCTTATAAAACAAGCTCCCTGACATCTAAGGGAAGGCAAACAGATGGTGATCTTCTGTCCAATATACTGTAACAAATAAATTATTGGTTTTATATTATTTTCCAATGACCTTTAGACATACTGAAGAGCTGGGCTGTTTGACTATACATAGTGTATCAACACTGTAGCAAGCAATTTGGTAGTAATTCTGTGACATTTTTGAAAGCCCAAATCACGTATCTCATTAAAAGTGCCAAATTGGTTCTATTAACCACTTAGATTCATATGTTAAAACTTATTTTAGAACTTTTAAATGTATCATTAAAATTTTAAACATTCATTTTAAAAATTGTTTTTAATTGTCCTCAAGCAGAGATAGGTTGGATAAGATGAAAGAGAAGGGGGCAGGGGAAAGGGTACCAACTGCCAAATGTAAAAATGAGGAATGATTATAGCTTGATGACTAGCAACATATATGAATAATTTCTGGAGTTGTAAAACATTGACATTATCAGGATCAATTAATTATGTATAAAATAAGTTCTAAAATACAAAATGTCTTCATATATTTTCACATACTATTTATAGCAATCTGATTCAGAAACTGTGAAATCAAGAAGAAAAACCACACATTAGAATTATTCTTTTTGTTAATTATTATGTCAGGGGGATAATAAACTGTCACTTTATACATGCTTGGAGAGACACCTGAATTAGAAATCTCAATTATTAAAAATCAATAATATTATAGAACAATATAGATTACCTGACATTGCATCTACACTATTCCACATGTAATCAAAAACATTAGCAAAAAATATGAAAATATTTCCAATGAAACTCAAATAGCCTAAGGTAGCAGAATACATGTCTATATTGACTAACAGATTAATTCTAGATTGCATTATTTAAATATACAGTTTCTCCTTTAAGAAAAATGACAGTTTTATAATTCAGGCTTACTGTTCTCAAACTATTGAAAGGTTTTCTCCCCATCCTTTAATTACTTGACCCAAGTAGATCATCAAATTAAGGTCCTAATTCATTAAGGTTATATTCTTTTTTAAATATTCATCAATCAATATAAATGATGATGGTAACTTACATATCAGAGTACTTGATATATTTGTTTTGGTTGCATTAAAGGTCACTATCATTATTCACAGCAAGATATAACGTTTTTGTTGACATAATTTTAAATGCTAATATTGTTATATATATATATGGTTTAAAAATTTTTAAAAATGAAGAAATCATTTTTCAGTATCAAAAAAGTGAAATAATACATAAATTTACTTTAAATTTGCATATTAAAAAAAAGATATACGTTGTGGTTATCACTTATCGATATTGAAGAAATCATTATACCTCTACAAGTTGGCATTACTCCACTCCATGTGCCATTAGTTGTACAAGTCCTGATTCTGGAACCATTCAATTCCATTGTATAGCCTGGCTGGCACATGTAGGAAACATTTTGTCCAACCACGTAATCATCTCCATATCTCAGTCCGTTGGCTGGTATACCTGGGTCTCCACAACTGATTACTATCAGTATTGGATTAGAAGAGCAGATGGTTAATGTGGCATATATTTAATAGAGAAGAGCAGTAAGCATATGGCGTACTTAATATAAGTAGTAGGAACAATTAGTTATCATGTTCATTTTTAATCATAAAACATAAGCATATTTAAACCACATACTAGCAATTCCTGATGGTAATCACATATGCTTTTTGCAAATTCTATACATATCATTCAGAAATTGTCATTTTGACTCTGAAAAGGCTAGGACAATATTCTATTATGTTGTAGGAAATTCTGAGGCAGTTACATCTTTTAACGTGTACTATATGATCATGGAGAAGCCATCCTATACAATCAAGATTTCTAACATAGTATTTAAAATCTGTGTTCTGATATATGGCTACTGAAATCTCAAATTTATCTGATTTGTTGGTCTGAGAGCATATTTTCTGCATGGTGATACTCAACTCAATATTATAATAGTTTTTAAAGTAATGCTAGGTGAAAAAAAAATTTATTGAACAACTGAAAGAATGAATAAATAACAAAATATGAATTTATCACATACAGGATGGGATACATAATTTGTGGGGCCTAATGAAAATTAAAAATGCCACAGCTAGAGATAGAGACATGAATTTGCATTTTCACGTACTTATTGCCAACACAAGTGAAAGAACAACCCTGAAAAAAAGCACAACCTCCATTGTGGAATGAGTTTGCTTTCTGGACTGGATGTGAGTTAAAGGCCTCCATCAAGGCCTCAGTCAAGTGACAGCTAAATATGCCTTGGTGTTGCCAGCCCAGGACAGAGACAGCTGCTGCCCTTCTCTGTACCAGGATTCCATGACTTGCCCAAGTCTGACTTGCCCCATGCTTTCACCCAGGCCCCCAAAATGGGGTGGACACAAAAGTGTTATGTGAGCCTTCCTCTGCTGATGACATACTGGACCAGCTGAGCAGAGGGGCATCAGTGGCTCCAAAGCAGGGGTGAAAATGAGGGGGCCAGACGGGGTACCAGGTGGTTGAGAGCAAAAGACCTATCACACATCCTAGCAAGAAAGAAGTCAGGGAGGCAGACTGAGCATGAGCAAAGGCTCTAAATCCTCAGTACATGTTCCACTGTCCCAGTGGACTTCAACTACTAAAGATAAATTCACAGATAAAAAATTACTGAGAATTTTGAGACAGCAATCATAGAGCATTGAACCTCAAGCATAGGATCCTTTTAGCATGAGACTCTATGAACTGCAGTGATCCACAAAGATGGCTCTGATTACATATCTTACTTATGATGCCACCCAAAAACTTTTAAACTTTTAAAAAGACTTGGTATAGCATAGCAAATAAAAATAATTCTAAATATGACATTTAAGAATAAAGTATAAAACAGAGATTACATTTAAATCACCAAAGCACTTGCTCTTCTGAGGCATGTGATTTAAGCATGATTTGGGAATCAACTGGCTAAAAGCTTTCTGGCAGCTAAGAGAAAAAAAAGAAAAATAGAAAAAACAAAAGGTTACACTTTTTCTTTCCTAGAGGTAAAAAAATGTGTCCTATTTGCCTTTTAGTATCTTTTTTTGCCTTTTGAAATTTTTGGTTCATAAAAAGGGTAAATCATTTTACCAGGTAAATCTAGGTTATACTCTCTCATTTTTATTTTTAATTAATTATTCCTAGAATTTTGGAGGTCTAGGGTTAAAGACTAAAAATAGATTAAGGATGCAAGCCCTTAATAATGCTTTAGCTATATCGTATTTATTAACTTACAATTAAAAGTTATGGATGTCAAGATTTCTTTCATATTATTCTTATCTGTTGAGTCTAAGAAATTTTAAGGCCATGAATATTGGCAATTAAAGAACAATATTCGCAGCACTCTACGGGCTAATTCTTGGAGTGCTGGGAACAGTGTGTTTCTATCAGACTCCTAATAAGAGTTTTGCATATAGGATGATTTTTGTTTTTTTAATTATTGAGGAGGAAAATATTTTTTAAATTATATAACTGAATTGGATAGGAAATCAAATCCTGCTTATTTACAAGAGTGTCATTTTCTTTGTAGTTTCAAAATTTATAAAGCTTTCAATTTATATTGTTTAACTTTCCCATGTTATTTTATATTTTTAACCTAGATTCCAATTAAGAAGAAGAAAATTAGAGAGAACACCCACAAATCGCTATTTTGTCAGCAGGACTTTACAGATTGAATTAGAATCCTGGCAAGAAAGAAGAGCTGATCCGGTAGAAAGACACATGAGCTGAGATGCAGCCACCAAGAGAGGACAGAGAGTTTATTTTACAGAGCCACCAAGAAAGAGTTCTGCTGATCACCCCAGCATTATGAATGCCTGACAACAACAGCTTCAGAAAAGTTTGTTTAGTGGCTTCCTCACGAAGCAAAGGCCAGTCAAAGAGGCAGTTTCCAATAGCAACGGTCTTTGTAAACAGCACCTGCTCCACGAGTCAATGCATTCACCACCAGCTTGTTTTTAACAACAAAAAGAGGCTTTAGGTCTTTTCTGGTAAAATCTTAGAATAGTAGCTCTTTAGGGCATTACGTTAAAATTCAGAGACATCAGTGCATGAAAACAGGGTGTTGTGGCTTACTGCAAGAAAATCTTTACTAAGGACACCAAAATCTCTAAGGACACAGTATTTGTGTACACACATAGGCGCACATGTGTGCACATGCGCACACATGCAACCAACTCCATGAAGACAGATATTTTGTCTCTTGTATATACTGTTGTATTCTCAGAGTCTTGTCTAGTGCATAACTTATCATAAGATATGAAATAAATGTTTGTTTAAAGAATAAATCAGTGAATGAGTATAAGGAATGATTAAACAGCTCAAATTCACAAAAACACATATACTGTTTTAAAGGTTTGAATTTGTTTTTGTGAAAGGTTTTTTTATGAGCTTCTATTATATAATTGACGTCCAATTGGCATAATTTATCACAAATCTATGAAGATAACCTCTATTATAAAAATAAAACATAACTGGTAATTCTAGTCTATCCCACTTCAAAACTTTCTCATTTAACTTCTTTAATGACCATTATAAATATACATTTTAAAGCAAAATAGGATTGCACTGCCCACACTTTTATAACAATTCATTTTTTACTCAATATTTAATGGATATTTTTTCATGTTAATACACATAGATCCATGTGCTATTTTAAATGCCATAATATCCTCTTACATGAATATACATGCAACATAATTCATGAAACCAAACCTCTGTGGACTGATTGAATCTGAGGGTCCCTATGACTTTGATTAAACTTAGTTTTAAATCTTAGCTCCAGAAATTTTCTGTCTCTCTCTCTGAATGTATGTATGTATGGATGTATGCATGTATTTACACACACACACACACACACACACACACACTCCTCAGAGACCTAGCCTTTCCCCTAGATAATCAGCAACACCCAAGGGCAGCAGAAGACAGTAGCTGGGACCTGACTAATGGTCACATCGTCCAGACCTCTGGCAAGCTAAAGATAACATATTGGCTTAAGTTATGTTTTAGTCATAAGCTCTGAGGTGGAATGACCCTCTGACTACTTTCCCATGAGACCAGAGAGAGAAACATCTGAATAGACTTCAGAACTGTCCTCCAGACCTAAAGAAATGATTTATTACCCTTATCTCACCTCTGACCAACCAGCTCCTTACATTGGCTAATTCAATATTTAACATTTTTTCTTTCTCTACTGCAAACTCCTGTTCATGCATTTCTTTGGGCCATTGCATGCAGGCAGATGGACTCAAGGAAAAAACATTGGGATTCTGGTAATATGACGTTTGAGCTATCCCACTGTTTTTCTATGAGAGACAATGCAGCAATGGGCATGTTTGCTCAGGCATCATTACACACGTGCTTTACCAGGTTTCAAGCCCAGAATAAAATTACAGTAAGGTGGTTAAACCATTTCTCTGATAATGCTTCTGAGTTTATGTGATCTCTTGATTTGAAAATTAGTTTTCTTTTTAGATGTCAGTAAGGTAGATTTTTTCAACCTTAACCTTGGCATTATTGACATTTGGAACCAATTAATTCTTGATTGTGTGGGGCTGCTTTATGCATTGAAGGTGTTTAGCATTGACCTCTGCCCATTAGATATTGATAGCACACTGTACTCACCTGCTCTGTGACAGCCCATATACCCCCAGATACTATCAAATTTCCGATGGGAAGCAAAACCGTCCCTGTTTGAGAACCACTGCAATGAGGGACAGCTCTCTCTCCTTGAAGAGATTTAGATGACTTTTTAGCTTCACTTGTCCCAGTTTCATGCTGGGATATCCCCCAGCTTTCTCTTGTGTGAGACTAGCCCCATCACCTTGACAAAAACAAAACCAACCAACCAACAACAAAAAAAAGACTTGGAGAATTCTTGGGCTGGTAACAAAGATCCAGTGAGGACCACTTCGGTTCTGGTTATTTGGAACAAATGCCTTGAATTTATCACTGGATCTGATTAAGTACACTGTCCCTGGTCCAAATGACAAGACCTGCCAGATGCAGAGCATCGATCATTTTGGAAGAAGTCCTGGTATATTAAAAAAGAAAATCCAAGAAACAAATGACATATTTCTTTTTAGACCCAAAAGCCAGTCCTTACTCCATTTGATAAGCTCTGTCTTGGTGCAGATTGTACCTTCTTCCCAAAACACTACGTGCACTATGTGCTTCAGGTACCAGCAGGGACTCTGCCTGTTAGACATCAAAAGGAAAAGATCCTGTACTGTTTATATCTTGAGGAGTTTTTGTGTTGACAAAAAAACAAACAACAACCCTGTATTTTTGAAGGAATTTTTTTACCTGTGTTTAGCTTTTAAATCTTTCAGTGTGAATATCACAGAAGAGAACTTCACCAAATTTTATAATTATAATACTGTTATGAGCTTCTTGGTATTATGGCACATATCTTTTCCCTCCAGCTTGGTTTAGTTCCATGGATATTTCTTAACATTTATAATTCCTCTGCCAAAGTATGT